GTTTACTTATGACAACTTAGGATTTCTTCTGAGCGATTCTCAGAGAATAAATGTGTGATTTAACGTCAGTCATGCCTCATGTTTCCTCTGGGCATCCAACAGGTACTGACTGGTAAGGGGGTCTCTGTCTGGAGGGGTGGCGGTGAGAGGCAGCAGAGGTGCTGGTTTGCAGTCGTAATGGGGGAGTGATGGAGGCTAACGGGGGAAGGAGCCCTCCGGAGAGGGAAGATGTGAGGGTGGAGGTAGGTAAACAAGTAGTTCAAATTTGATAGATGAAAAAGGGAAGATGGCGGATGAATTCTCATCACAGTAGTGCTAATCAATTATGGGTTTATGAGTGAGATGACCTAAAAATTAAGTCGGCGGATGAATTCTCATCACAATAGTGCTAATCAGTTATGGTTTTATGAGTGAGATGACCTAAAAATTAAGTACAAAGAAAAGAGAAGGAGGAAGACCCAAGAAAGTGTGGAAAAAGGAAGGAGGGAGGTGTGATGTGATGGGTAGAGACATAAGAGGAAAACTAGGAGAGGACAGGGCTGCAGAAACCTGGGTGGGGAGGGAATTTCAGCAGAGCACGACTAGGAGAAGTGCCTGGAAAACTTCTCCTGAAAGAATGAGTATGTTTTAGAAAAACAGTTAAAATGTTTGTCCACTGTCTTGTTATTTTACATCTTTGTGACTACAGTCTCTCTCTCCCTTCCTTTTCCTAGTCTTGGCTAATCCAGCCTTCACACCCCTCCTGCATTCAGATTGTCCCTCCACTTTGACCATATTGCTGCTTGAACGTAGCTCTCTTGGGCTGCTTTCATGGCTTAGTTCTGCTGGTAACGCTGATGCAGTATTTCATCCTGTGAATATGATCTTTTACCCTTAGCTGAAGTAATGAAACATATACTCTGGCTTATTTCATTTTCTTCCAAATTACCATTTTTTTGAAATGGATTTGATTTCTCCTTCATTGACAATTGAAATGTTCTGTCAGGAACAGCTGAAGCCAGTTACTTATACATGAGTCTTAGAAAAATGGCTTTTCCTAGGACTTACAGGAACATGTTTTGTCCTTTGCTTCAACAAAATGGACCAGAAGACCTCATTCCTTTCTTACGTCTACCTTACATTGTCACTAGGAGGTCTCCAGTGTTACCTAGGTTGGGAGAGAGGGCTTTTCTTCAGTACCAGTTTACTTGGGAAGTTCAGATATTCCTGATCTGCTTGCAAGAATACTGATAGCTGCACTGCCACGTGTTAAAAGGAGGTTTTTAACTGTGCACAAAACTACAGTAAGTTCCATAGCTGCAAACTTCTTTTCACCAGTACTTCACATCTTTACCAGCGCAGCTAAACTGATGTCAAAATAAAATAGAATGCTTCTCCACATAGACACACATAAACACGTATATACATAGCATATACATATCGATGTGTGTATTTATATGTCAAAATATGTGTGTTGTCCAGAGCTCTTCCCAGAGGCCAGTCTTTAACAGTGGCATTAAAAATCTCGCCACTCTCTTTTTCTTCAAAATCTTTGAGATTTATATTTCAGTTAGTGTAAGTTTGGGAATAGTTGGGAATAGGCTGTTTGTATCCAGTGAAATCTAGAGGTTTGCTCTTTTTCACGTCAGAGCCAGTATCAGTATATCATTTCTCTTCATTTTGGGGCTGGAGATTTTTGCCTAAGCTTTATTCCCTCCCTTCTCACCCCCTTTTTTTGTTTGATTTAAATCTGCTCATTCTGCTGTAAAACTGCAAACAAAGGACAGAGCATTGTTTGACACGTAAGCCTGTTTCCAGTCTGCTTGATTGATCAGTCTGGCATCTTCTCTTGGCATTAAATACAAGCATGGACTTCATATTCTCCTAAAAGGCAGTATGTATCAGTGGAATTTGTGTTGTTACATGTTTCAGCAACTATCATGTAGTCTGATGAATGACATTTTTGTTATTTTAGGCTTAAAAACTGAACAATAATGAGTTTATAGTTCTTATCTTGCAAAATAAAAATAAAAAATATTGTGGCATACAGCTGTATTTACAATTTCCTTCTCATTCCTTCTTTATTCTGAAAATAAGTGTTTAAATGCATTTCATAGCTCAGGTTCTCCATGAGATTAGATGGAAGTGAAGGTGGTAGTTCAAGTAGATAGAGCATGCATGCAAAATATCATACGAAGACATGATATTCAACTTATATCTAGCATGTTTGAGAAAGAAACATACTGATTTGGGTAGGCATGAACATAGAGTGTCAACTGTTTGCAAAGTATTTTGCAAGGGACAGGTGAAAATATTGCAAGGCAGTTCCTGAAATTCTCCATTTTGTTTAGTATATTGCAAAATGTTGTTTCAGTTTGCTCAGGATGAAGACAGTTGCATTGGTGACTTTGCAGTGGTTGAGTATGAAACTGCAGAGCAGGCTGAGAAAGTACAAGAAGTGACAAATGGCATGACTATCAAAGGAAAGAGGATCCAGGTGTCGTACTGTGCTCCGGGAACGCCAGGCAGAAGCACCTTAGCAGCACTTATAGCAGCGCAAAGGATGGTAAGATATTTGCAAATCTGTTTTCGAAGTAAGTTTGATACACCTTGAGCAGCCTGAGTTGGGTCAGAGGGATTCAGCTGCTTTGCATTAGGAAAAGGAGCCAAGCTTTTGGAAGCATTAGCTTTTTTTTTTTTTTAAATCTAGTCAGCCCAATTCAGTCTCCTTCCTAGGCAAAGCATGGCCATATGCTGCAGGGAGGAAGGGTAAAATATGACCGTACGATACCACAAAGTTACACTTACGTAGCTCTGTGATTTTAGTAAATTTGATTTTCTGTAAGAGAAATTGTTCCAGTTCAAAGCAAAAGTAGAGTCACTTGACAAGCTAAAATTTGGTTTAAAACAGAGAAGCAAGAATTTGTCAATTGTAAGGTAAATTTCAAGGTAGGATAAAGAGTTTAATTTCATGCTCAATATAGAAGAAAGCTTTTTACACCCACATGTCTTATCAAATTATGTCCTGGAAAATTGGATGTGATAGGTGTTACATGAAGCTGTCCTAAACGTAGCAGCAGAACAGTCTCATTACTTCAGCTAGCTTTAGCCCACATCTTTATAAAAGAGATGAGTGGTGCTGTTACAAGATAGTATGTGGTGTTCATGTTAAAAATGCCTCTTGTATTCTCCTTTATTGATAACTCTGTCTTGGTTTAAGGGAAAAAAATAAATGTGTCTTAGGAAAAATAATACGCTTGAAGTTTTGGGAGAATGGTTTGTTAGGTGTTTCATTTGGGGGAAGAGGAGCATGGAAAGGAACAGGAAACAGAGGAGGAGATGTTTTTTCTGTGTAAAATGAAATGTGTACATTACTGTCACAAAAGTTTGAGGGATTTAAATGTATTCTTTGTTTTCTCCCAATTCTAACGTCTTTGTATCTCTCTTAATTGGAGATGAGGAACAATAAGAAAGGCTTGCTTCCAGAGCCAAATCCAGTGCAGATTATGAAAAGTTTTAATAATCCAGCAATGTTGCAAATGCTGCTGCAGCCCCAGTTGCGTGGACATGCTGTTAAACCTGGTAAGTTGTTTTAAAGCTGAGGTAAAAAAAAAGAAACCCTGTTCTTGGTGATATAAGGTTTTCCGCAAAGGAGAGAAACAGGAACATGATTTTAAAATGTGTGCAGACCCTGTTTCAGTGTGTCTGTGTAGACATTTTCATATTTTATGCAAGCAAAAGCAAGAGGTGGATTGCTACACCGTTGTGTCTGGGTAAAATTTTGTGTTACCTAAAAATGTCCTCACATTAACTCTGTGGTCTCTGAATGTTTATATTAGAAATGGGTTTAAAATGAAATGTCTTTTGTAGTCATCATTAAAATGGCAAGTTTAAATCTGATTCTAGATCTGAATTTTGCAGCCTGAGTCTTTGCCCTATTGTTTCCAATTTAAATCTTTATTCGCTTGGATGCTGCCATCATCGTACACAGCATTTCATAATAGCATTACCAAAAACATTTCTCTGCCTTCTCATTAGGATGAATGTGAATAAACATATTAAAACCAATCTTATCACATTGCAAATGGTGAAAGTATTAGGAACAGGAATGAGAATAGATAATTTGAAGAGTCAAGTGGGGGACAGCGAAGAGTTTGTGACATAATCTCCTGGCAGAAGATACACAGAAATTGTGTGCGAAGTGAACGCTTTAGTGAAGAAGCACTTCAACTAATGCTGACGTTTCGAAGCACTTTGGATAATGCTGTGGCCTTGCAGACATTTCTGCATCTCTGAGCAAAACTCTCGGCTTTAGAGGAACTCCATGAAAGTACATTTGATCTTTAATACGCTGTTAATTGCAGTTCAAAGCTGGGTGTATTGCAAGGTTTCATTATAGTGGCCTTTAGTATACCGGAAAGTTTCATGGAAACCAAATCTGAAAAATATAGAATAACTGTTATACAGATCTTTACTTGCCTAACTTATAAAACACTGCAACTTTGTCTTGTGTTTCTAAAACAGTTCTTGGAGCATCTGCAGGTTTACCTCACCTTATAAATTCAGCAGTTGGCCCACCTTTTTTGCAGTTGAATAAAATTCACCAGGTACGTGACAAAAAACTTTTATCAAAATATGTATATGTGGAGATCTTAGCATGAAAAATATTCCCAAAGTTTTAAGAAATTACAGCTAAAATCAAGTGTTCTCATTAAAGCTGTCTTTAAGAAAAGCACTCTATTATGAGATGCCTGTGGGGATGTACTTACTATCCACAAGTGAGTTATTTTATCTTAACTGAGCTTTTGATTTGCTAACACCTGCCGATGTAGAGACAACTTGCCACTACTGGCAAAAAAAAATCCTCTTTAGCGCTTGAGGAGCATGGCACATCCGTTTCTCTTGGAGCTGCTCATACACGCTTCCTGTAGAGGCTTGATTGTTTTATCTTATTCAAGCCAACAAGCTTAGCATCGTTAACTTCATTTTGAAGCTTGCAGGGACCAAAATGTGCTATATATGCCATAAACAATAGTGATTTGCAGATGTTACTTCTTAGTCAAAAAAACCCCAGGGTTATAATCTGTTTAAAGTGTTCTCAGAGTATCTGTAATTCACTGCAAAGTTGATACGACTTCCATATGGACACCAGAATTTCTGAAAGAGACTGTACCGGATATTTGGGATGAGTCTGCCCTCAAATTGATGATGAGAACATGCTGGAGTGGCACCCACAACCAGAACTCCTCCCTGCAGCACTTCACTTGGCCGGCAGCCTGCCTGGCCTCCCTCCACCTTGCGTTGAGGTTCTGCCAGAGATTTCTCCAGCTCTGCCAGCAGCCAAAATTTGCCTTCAATATTCATGGCAGGGATTTTCAGAAGTACCTGTAAGGGACTGGGGTCAATTGCTTTGACTTACCATTTCTGATGTTTCAGAAATTCCCATTTAAGAAATAAAAGCCCCTTAAGTATTAGTTCTTACTTTTACTGTTTTGGCAAAGATAGACTGATAGATCTTTAAAAAAAATAATTAAAATGCAGAGATACTGCTTAAGTATATTTAGCTTTTCTGTTTTTTTCTGCTAAAAACTGATAGGTGAACATATGCATTTTGAATAAATACTACTTAATTTTGCCCCATCAAAGGAGTTGCTGTTGTCCTGTACAATGAAAAAATACATCATTCTTTGCTTGTATTTCTTTTATTTAAATGACATTTTCAATTGGTATATTTAGTTACTGCTGCTCTCCCTTCAGCCTTGGAGAGCCTGTGCTTCCTTGGAAGGCAATGTGAATGTTTTCTAATCACGGCTGGAGACAGGCATGTTTTACACAGTTAACAGTGTGATTGATGATGATCCAATGTTTTTTGGCTTAAGAGTGCTGCAGCCAAACAACTCAGTGTTTTCTCTTTAGAGAGACTTACAAGTCTAATTCTCTTCCAGGGAGCTTCCTGTCACTTAATTAGCTCCAAACCTGGTTTAACAGCCTGAATTTTTATTGACAATGATTTGATTATCCCAGTTCCTTCTATTAGGCACATGTTTCTGCTATTCAGTGTCTTATTTCAGAGTATTCTCTAAAACCAGAGAACCAGGTCACTGTTTTTATTGTCTTTAAATTCAGTATTGTCAAAAGATAGAGGAACAGGCAGCGTCTTGGCTTGATTCCGTCCCCACCTCCTCAGTCACACACTGATTCAGCTTCCTGTATGTCCTGGTTTTGCTATTTTATAGTCAAGGTTTTGTAAAGTAATATAATGAGAAGAAACAATATTTTTAGGATAATTATGCCACAACATTATAAAATAATTGATAAAAAAAGATTCAACAGAGGGTAATTTGAACAAATGAGTTATTCATCCAGTAGTCTTTCATCTCTGGAGGTAGCATGACTTTCACCTTCTTTCTTTAAATTTCTCTTAGTTACAATTATCATGCGCCAAAATAATGCATTTTAAACTTTCTCAGTGATGTGTTTTCTTCAGTCATCCAGCAGTTCATTAAATCTTTATTAACCCAAAGACTTCGTTTTGAGGATTCTAACCAAACTGATTTCCTACTCTTGTATTTCTGAAAGTTTTGCAATTGAACTAGTACATTTTCTTTGTTGATGTAACCAAGTTAAGAACGAACAACCACTGATATTGGTAACAATAAACAGCCCTGGATAATTTCTACTGGAAATCACCAAGACAATTAAAATAGCATAAAATTAAAATCAAAAATGCATAACTAATCTAGATATGGCACATTTTTGTTTTAAATTGCACATTTCTAAGCCCAGAAGATGATATTATAGGCACAGAGGGACTTTTCCTAGGGAATTTCAACTTGCCACACAGAGACAAAACCTAGGCTTGAAAATATTTGTGAGGTGTTTTGCAGGAGACTGTGAAATCTGCAAAGCCATGCATCAGGAGAGCTGCCTTCTTTTTGGGTTCCACCTTCGTTACCTGGTTTTGGTGATCTTTCCGATGTAGGAGATTACAAAAAAATGAGGAAGGCTATACTTGTCGTGATTTGACACAGGCAGTGTCCTATATATCCATCCTTGCACTGCTGTACAAAAAGGTTTGTAGAACAACCTATATTTTGCCTGGCAAATCATGCTCAGGAGCTGCTGCCAGAAAGACAATTTCAAGCCTGTGTTCAGCTAGCGTGAACTATTGTGGGTTTGTGATCCAGAGTGGGCATAAGGTTTCTTTTAAGCCTTCACTTTTAAGTTCACTGTGCTAGCCAGAGCACATACTGCCGAGTCTACCAGTGGCAGAGTCTGAACGTGGTGCCCCAACATTGTTAATTAAGTGGCTCAGTTCTGATGGCAAACTGATCCAGAATGTTTTGAATGAAAAATATCAGCATTTTTATAGACTTGACAATCTGTAGGCACTGTGATTTGTAAGCTTTTGTTGTGGTTTAACCCAAACCAGCAACCAAACACCACGCAGCCACTTGCTCACTCCTTCCCTCTCACAGTGGGATGGGGAGAAGAATTGAAAAAAAGGGAAACTTGTGGGTTGAGATAAGAACAGTTTAATAACTGAAGTAAACTAACATATAATACTAACAATAATAATAAAAATATAGTAATAATACTACTACTAATGAAAAAGAGTATAACAAAAGAATAAAAATCCAAGAAAAGGCAAGTGATGCACAATGCAGTTGCTCACCACCTGCTGACCCATGCCTGAGCAGCGATCCCTGAGCACTGGTCAGCTCCTCCTGGCTAGCTCCCTCCAGTTTCTATACTGGACATGAAGTCATCTGGTATGGAATATTCCTATGGCCAGTTTGGGTCAGCTGTCCTGGCTGTGTCCCCTCCCAGCTTCTTTTGACCCTCCAGCCTTCTTGCTGTCTGGGCATGAGAAGCTGAAAAATCCTTGACGTAGTATAAACACTATTTAGCACAACTAAAAAGGTCAGTGTCTTATCAACATTATTCTCACACTAAATCCAAAACAATACACTATACCAGCTACTCGGTAGAAGATTATCTCAGCCAAAACCAGGACAGCTTTTTAATGGTTCTGGAATAGAATTTCATGTAGATAGTTGCCACTAAAAAGCAGGGGGAAACACATCTGGATATTCCTCTTTGAAAGTAAAGATACTGTTTTGTAATTGTAAAGCAAGGGATGAGAGAATCTGACAGATACAACCGAGTCCTGTAAAACGTATAGATACTTGGCAGAGATTATGTATTGAAATTGCAGTGTAAGGAAGGCACAATGCGAATGTTAACGAACAATGAAGTCCTTGTTCATACAGCTCATAATCCTCTGCAGTCCTTCTGTCTCATCTTTCTTACTGGCACTGTAGGTAGCTCCCCTCTCTAGTCTGTCTGCGAAGGTTTCAAACACATTTAGCTTTCCCTGTTGGCTTAGACACAGGGGCTGCAATGGAGTCTGAATTGTATTTGGAGTATACTCTTGAACCTTTAAAAACCATCAGAAAGCATAGTTGGGGTTGTGAGGTGAAAAAAAGGGCTAGACGGAAGAGAAGGTGTTAAAAGAACTTGAAATAACTCTGTATGAATGAAGCAAAAATTTAGTTCTGTGGAGGAAAGAGTTCTTTTCCTTTGCTCTGTTACCTCCAAAACTAATTTGAATTTCTTTAAGCAGTATCATCTGAAGATGTTTCAAGAATGTACTGTTTTCCACGACTGTCAACTCACACTTCTTTTAATAATTTCACAGAGTTCAATTCTGGGGAGTACCTCTAACTTACTGCTGCAGAGCCCTGCTCACCTACCGTTGCCGCAGCAGCAGCTGATGAAGATTGAAAACGTTCAGGCTAATAGTGTAAGGTCATCGCTTTAACTTTGACTGTCTTTGGACATTCTTATAACTGCTAAAACAAATAATTTTTTTCATCTAGTATAATTTAACAGTTTAATGTATCTGAAAAGATTAACTGAATGTGAAAGTTACAAGAAATAGCTACAGACAGATTTTTTTAATCATTTACACAGTTTTCTATTCTTCCTCATAGAAACCGGGTTTGCTGGGAGAACCTCCAACAATGCTACTTCAGACGGTACTGGGAATAGGGGTAATGCCTTCAGTGAGTTCAGGCATGGGAACCCGTGGAGAAGCTCTGAAGTGTAAATGACATTTTATTTCGTACCAAATCAGTAGAAATGCTCAGCTTGAAATTACACAACTTACTTTCTCCCACTGTAGCAAAAGCAATAGTATGTTGGAACCTTATCACGGCACAGTACGGTAGGCAGAGAGCTGGACAATAATGCACGTTATATAGCTGTATAGTTAAGCAAGGTAACAAGTTATATATCTATACAACCAGCTGTAACCTGCTGGTTTAAGCAGGAAACAAACTTGAAATATCTTGCCTTGTTGCCTGGCTTCTCTCATCTGTTTGTCAGAGAAAGAAAGAGTACACTGTGGCATCGGTTGAATATTTGCAGGTTGTTTAATATTCTGCTTGCTCAGCTACTACCATTTTTAGTACACTTGGAATATGTTTTTATTTAGGATGAAAATTTTGGGGCTTGTTGTTTCAAAGCAGATAAATCTGAGTAGCTGAAGAGGCACTGCAAATATGGTTTTTTGCATTCATTTCATTAAGCAATAGAGCTGTAACATCCAGTCTGTGATGGATGTCAATTTTGAATGCAAATTTCTGCACCAGTGATGACCTCAATTTTTATGAGGAAAGATCAGTTGTGATACTGCTCAGTGCATCTTTTTTTGTTTCCTCCGCTGAGACCCATGTATTCTGCAGTTCTAGACGTGGTCTGAGTAATGGTAGTAACCAGGAGCAAGGAAAAGCTTGCAGGGTGGGGTGGGAGAGAGAAACCTATTCTGAATGTCTAGATGTGAAATTTGTAGAATACTTTCTAGCTCTTTTGTTCATAAAAAGAATTTTTCTGATGTCCATTGAGGTGGGGTTTTTCCCCTCTATTCCAATACAGGATCCTCTAGGATGTTGTTGACAGGTTTTTGAAAGTGACAGGCGACACTAAGTAACTTGTTATCATTGTGAATGTTTAGAAAAGTCAGAGTTTTATTCTATTGTATTAACTTTAAATAGAGTTGTTTACTCCTGGGATAATAAAAGAATAAAAACTATCGTCCGAATCCGTGTTCTAGGACAGCTGTAAAATAGATCTCTAAATGTTTTTCTCATCACTTAGTAAAAACCACAAACAAAATGTACTGATAAATCTTGTCTAACAGAAAAGTTTCTCCATTTATGGTTGACTGCAGCATCTAATCTAACTCCCATTCAAACAGCAGCAGCAGCAGGGATGGGCATGCTGCCATTCTTTCCGAATCAGCACATTGTTGGACAAGCTATACCAGGGCAAAACAGCACTCCAGATAAACAATCGACTACCGAAGCGGTTGTCTCGGGATCACAGCCTTATCATCAGACCTTAACAAATCTTTCTGCGGGAGCTTTGCGGGCTGGACATGCCAAACAACAAAATCAACTAAAAAGTACTGATACAAGTTCAGGGGTAAGGAACATTGAATACAAATATTTTATTTTTTCTTGTGTGTGGATTTTCTCTTTTTTTATTTTAACGTGCTTAAGAGTTAACTGCAACTGCTTGTTGTAGTTCTTCACTATAAAATTTGCTAGATCACAGGATCATTCATGAGACATTTTATGGTCATTTCAGTTATGAATAATAGAGAGAGAACAATAATGCTCTTTGGTGGTCCAAATGAATTAACAAAGTAATCTTTTTACAGTGCTGGAGTTGGGGTTTTTTTTCATGTGTATGCCTCATAGTATTTGATGATGAAATTACCTCAAGGGCAATGTCCCTTTTAAAGACTGAAAAATTGAACTTGTGGTTGAATTTCATGACTAATCAGGAGCAATTCTGGTGGTATGCACGGCCTTTGGGTTTCCAGGTGGGGTGTGTATATATGTGTTTCTAAATTTTATGCTTTTAATCTATGCCCTCTTAGCCATAGTCGACATACTCTTAGTCTGTGTCAGTTTTAATATTTATTCCCTTGAAGGTGGGGGGTGGGAGGGTGGTGGGATGGGATTGAAGTTGAACCAGAATGTTCTATTTTTTTCAGAAGTTTTTTTCTGTCATTAACAGAATTTAATTTTTTTATAATATACATAAATACTTTGACATTTATGGGGAAACATGTTCTTAATTCAGATCAGATCTGTGTTTTCCTTACATATTTTCTGAAGCATCTGAAGAGATTAGATTATATACAGTATTGGTGTCTGCCTTTTGTTAGACAGCTTTGACAAATTTAGTCCTACTTCAGAAAGTCCTGCTTCAGAATTTTTTCATTTTCTAAATCATTTTTTACTGTAATGAAGTGGAATTTTACCTGTGTATATTCCACTTTACCTCTTGAATTTTACCATGTACCTAGATACACATGGATAAAATGCACAGAGTGTATGTGTATACGTATATAAAATCAGTGGTTTATTTCAGCATTTCATTTAGGTAAAAGGAAATGTAATTAAACCATTAGAAACCTAGATTTATTTCTGTGAATATTGCTGATCAGGAAAAGTTCTTTTTTGAAATCCTGGTAGATGTTTTAATAGTTTCCTTTTCTGCATCAGTAGACAGAAGGCCTAGTTTACAAAAATCCCTTCTGTGACCAGACGGCCACAGTCTGTATGCTGATACTGAATGGTCACATTACCTTAAATGCCTGCTTTTGCATCCAGATGAAGAATTTCAGCACGCCGTTGAAGTTTTTTGCATTTAAAAACTGGTCTCACTGAAAATAGTATTAGTGCATTAAAATAATGGGAGTTTTTTTCCTTAATGGGCTTTTAAAAAATGAACAGAATAGCTGTAGAGTAGAATACTGTATAAACGGCTGTGTATTTCAGACAAGCTGTGGAACTTGCTGTAGCTATTTCATCGTCGTTTCTGGTGCTTTCTCTGACATAAGCTAAGGAGACATAAGCTGGTCGTGTACCCTTCCTAATCCCTCATGGGAAACACTTCTGGTGATTTGGAGGAGTGAGTCAGTCCTGACATTTCATTTCCACTCATAAACATTTCCCCCTTTTAAGTAAGGCCTTATAAATAGAATGATCAGTAAGATGTGTATAATGGCAGATTGCAGACAGGGTCATATCTCCCGTCCAGGGTTCGTTTGTCCTTTATTTGCTTGTGACTCTGGGTGAGAAGGGTTGATTTTGTCTTGGCCAGGTACTTAATGCTAATTCCCTGCATCTGGGGTCATTATGGTAGTTTTTATTCCTTTACTTGAATGTAAAAGGTTTTCTTTGTTTGTTTGTTTTTTAATATCTTTAGTAACTTACAGTCTAAAGAGAAACATTTCTACAAAATTATCTGGCAAGAAAAAAGTACAGGCAATGTGTCCAGGTAGTTGTCCCCTCTATTTATCTAAAAAGTTTGCCTGTTGCATTTCATAGGGCTAAGCTTTTTTCAAAATCCTACGGGGACACTTAACCTTTTTTCTGACAAATGTTGTATGAATATAAAGCACACTGACCTGTCCAATTGTTTTGCAGACTGCCTTGAAAAAACAGACGTCACTGCTAGGAGAACCACCAAAAGAAATACGTCTTAGTACCAACCCCTACTTGAATTTGGCAAGTGTGTTGCCTGGTATATGTCTTCCAGGTAAGCGAACGTTTAGGGGGTTTAGTTGCAAATTTCCTTGACCAGGGTGTGGCAAACAGTTATTCTGTTTGGCAGGTAATTCCAGCGACCACAACATTTATCTTTAAAGAATTCTTGTAGTCTGTCTTAAAATTGCAATGTAATTCTATCCTCATAGTTAATATTTTATTTGGGAAGGGTAAATTTTCAGAGTTAATGGGCTTGCTGATGCAGACAAACTTCTAGGAAGCCTTTCAGTTATTAGTAGCACTGATTAATTTTGAGCACAGCCTAATCTGAAGCAGCAAATTTCTGTTGTAATCCCAGAATATTGCTAAACAAGAGTGCAAGCTAATTTGTGCAGTTTATGCAAACCACGTATTTGTTGTGTTATGAACAGCAATTGCCAGCAAAGCCTCTAGCCCACCGCAGCAGACTGGACTTTCGAACAACATCATGGATGCTGCTGTGTCTCAGGGAACTACATCACAACATGCAATGGAAAATTATTTTAATTACTCTCAACAGCATGGGGAGTACACACAGGTATGTTGTTTTGCGTCGCTTTCTTCTGAAGCCTGGTTTGTCACTCAGAGCTCTGATAGCAGGATTTTTGGCAGAGATGTGCTCAGAGATCGCTCCCTGAGCTGCTCATTGTTTTTCTCTTTGTACTCTTAATGCACTTCTTGGTACAGCTGTGGTCAGATAGCCCTGCATGGAGTTGGACAGCATTGCCCAACATCATGTACCACTCTTCAAGGATTTCTAGGCTTTCCTACACCCAAAGCCCACTCTTTTCTTCAGCTTGAACCTTGTCGGTCCTCCTCACCGATTGTCTCTCTCAGTGTACAGAAACAGATTTAGCACAAAGTACACCCAATGCCAGTCAAAAAAAAAAAAAAAGCCTCAAGACATTCACTGCTGCAGTGTCATACCCATTGAAAGATTGCTTCTTGAGAACCTGAACTCAGTGCAGTCAGCTAAAAAGTTGCTGTCTTATGAATTCTGACTTGGCTTTTGTCTGTCTTCAAAACCATGAAGTTTTTCCCTCCCAGGAAGTTTCCAGGTTTTCTTGAACCTTGGCTAGATCCCAGAGAAGAGTGTGTTGGGTCTGCCAGAAATTGCTGTATAGCTTGGGGAATTTTTGCAGGCTCTGCCAGCTGGTTTCACTGCAAGGGATTTCTTCACCAGATGCCCCATTTGAGGATCAGAGCATGACTATTGAGATGGAGGGCTGCCCTCATCTGCGGAGTACTGCAGTACTGAGGGCAAGTACTGGGTTTCACAGACTGTGAAATAACGTTTCCATACTTTCATTAGCCATCACTCATCTGTGTAGAAATACCATAGAATGGTTTGGTTGGAAGGGAC